CTGCCAGCTCGTGGTGCCATGGGCAGCCCCGACAGGCAAGGCCGGAGCCGGTGCGGGGCCCAGGCTGGCAGTGGGGCTGGGTTACAAGGTAGTGCTGAGCACGGGGGCGGGGGGAAAGTGACCCCTCCCCTGCCCCGTGCCTGGTGCCCCATGCTGCAGCTGCTCGCAGCCTGCCTGGGGGTGCCTGTGCCTGCTCCAGATGTCAGGTTTGACCTAGAAACCACTATACAAAGCCCAAGCAAAAGTCTCTGTTATGTAACTAATGCCCATCTGCAATGATAAGGAGGAGACAGTCTTAGATAAAAGATGCTTGAAAACAAAAGCAGAATCAGAGGACTAGGGCAAAGAGCTAATTTAAATAGTAAAAATCACACCCCTAGGTGGGGAGAAAGTATACTAATAAAACATACATGTATGTAAATGAGATACATAGCTAAAACACAGGTATAGAGACATGCTCAGTAAAGAACTCCTTGCGTCACTCCCTTATAACCAATTAACAAACAAGAATGCTTATGAAGGTCCAATACTCCTGTATAAAAGATGCTTAAAATTAAGAATCTGTGTGCTTGTTACGTGAAATTATTCCGCTTGCACCTTTTATTGCTAGCAATAAATCTTCTTTATACTTTCACCCCTGGTATCTTTATTGGCTTTTGCATACCGGGCACGATCCCAGACTTGAGCTAGGGCTCAACACAGACAGCCCAGCATGGGCTGTGAGTGCCTGCAGCAGGGAGCACCAGCCATGGGGTGGGCAAGGGGCCACTTTTTCCCATGCTCAGCACCAGCTTCTTCCCTGCCAGTGAGCAGGGGGTCAGGGCTGTGCGCTGCCCTCCGCCTGTACCGCAGGGCTGGGGGGCACTGGGAGTGAGCAGGTGCGGGAGCCAGCAGGAGCACGGGGCCTGGACCAGTGTCCTGGGGCCAGTGACAGCGGGGCCCAGAGCAGGGTGGCAGGAGCGTGGGGTCCCAGCCAGCAGGGGCTTTATGGAGCCGGGCCAGCTCCCGTCTCTCTCTGCTGGCGCAGCCCAGCCCAGCTCCACAGACCCCTGCCAGCCTGTGCCCTGCTTTGGGGCCCGCCGGTGCTGGCCCTGGGACATTGGTCCCAAAACATTGGGACATTGGTCCCAAGATGGTGACCAGGGGGTGGGGCACCTGTCAAGGGGCGGGGCTTCGCATGCAGCCCTCGACAGCCTGCCAAAACTGGGTAAGCGGCCCTCCACCCATAATAATTGCCCACCCCTGGATTAGGATTTGGATTTGGCCCGAATAAGGGACAGCAATTCGATCCATGGATTCAGATCACTGTCCCTGATTTGAGTTGGCGAAATCCGAATCTGCCAATTCGATGCTGATTTGGCAAATCAGCAATTCGGGCACAGGCACAGCTTTAAAAGTTTTTTCTACATATCTTAAGGTAGCAGCATGGCTGTGATCACAGCAGTGCTGGGGCAGATGCAGCATCCCACAGCAGCATGGGGGGCTCTCCAGCATGCTCGGCAGTGAACCTGGAAGAGGACTGGAAGTACTTCTGGTCCACTTCTGGGTTGGTCAGAGAGCATGCTGGGCACCCCCCCAGTGCCTCCCTGGCTGGTGATCAGTGTCAGGGGGATCCCGGGTGCCCTTCCAGACCCAGAAGCACCATTTTCTGAGCTGGGAGGGTGCAGGGGGGCCCCACAGCATGCTCCCTGGTGGACCAGGAAGTGCACCAGAAATGCTTCTGGTCCACTTCTGGGTCTGCTGCTGAGCATGCTGGGGAGCCCCCTGCACTGCTGTGGGACATTGCATCTGCCCCAGCACCGCAGGGTTCAAAGCCCCTGCTACCCAGAAGTATGTAGAAAAATCATTTAAAGCTGTCTCTATGTCCAAATGGCTGAATCTGTCTTAATCTCTCTGAATTGATTCGGAGAGATTAAAGGGTTCTGATTCGATTCAGATTTGGAGATTCAGCCACCAAATTGGGCCGAATCTCCGCCAAATTGAACCACGGACTGAAGCTTTGCACAGCCCTAGTAGAAACCTTCTTTTACCTGGGAGGAATAGTGTAACTGTGGTGGCATTAAGGGGGAATTCTGCCAGCACATAAGAGCTTTGAAATTTGAACATAGATTTATTTTGCCTTGTGCTTTGTAGGCAGAACAGTGCCATGTAGAGCAGGCTTAAGATATTTGGTAAGGAGAACTCTGTGGCTGAGGCAAGATATAGTCAAGAAACCTGGATCCATATAGAGCCTTAACTGCAACAATAACACTTTGCAGTTCATATCTTCTTTAAACCTTTATATACGGCTATACTGTCTTTTGCAAATCTCTCCTTTTAAACTTGCCTGTGCTTTGCAGGCTACAAAACATTTGATCACGGATAGGGTGTGTTTGCTATTTCTTATTTTGAGTATGATCATGGAGAAAACTGCTGAACTCAAAGACGCAAATTTGATGCCACCTCTCTCTGGGATGGGGGTGAGTGAAAAAGATGCTCATTGCTTGAAATAAGAAGCACAGTTTGGAACTCATGTGGCTTCTCAGGGTTGGTTAGCAAGTTTGCAGATGAGCAGGGCAGCTGGATAGGTGGGAGGGAGCTGTGCTTTGAAACAAATGCAGCAAAATATTGCGCAATTAACAAAGAAATCGTTTAAGTATAGGCACCTAGCCATTTTACTTGGGCCCTCAAACTGGGATTGGAACAGTTTAGCATAATATAGCTAGCTTGCTCTTTTTTTACAAATGCTGTCCTGTTAACCACGCCTGTCTTTTTACAGTTCCAGAAACCCATGATGACCCTGCAGTGAAAATGCCTGTAAAGAAACAACTCTCCCTGGCAGAGAAGGTTGAATCTATGAGGTGTCAAGTTCTCGCTAAGTGGGAGGAAATACAAGCTTTAGAGAAAGAGATTAAAGAAACCATGACTCATGCTGGGGTTGCAAACACCATAGAGAAGACGGTTAAAGACATAGAGGCAAGAGATAATTATTTCTAAGCATTTTGTGTTCATTTTACCTGAGAGGTATCCGTATCTAGCTTCCTTGGTGACAGGCTTTTTAGAAAGGAGATTGCTACTCAGTAGTCTTTATTTTCTTCTCTGAAGACCAGATAATCCAGATACTTCCAAGGCTCCAATAGTCAGGGTATCCGGGCTATGATGCTGCAAAGTAATGCATCTGGGTGGACTTCTGAAGTAAATTGAGCTTGGTCAGACACAAGGGTGCTCTGCATACACCATGTTACAGGATTGGGGCTTTCTAATCATATGGTTTGGTGGGGCAGGCTGGGGGTGGAGGAGGAAAAGAGAGTTTATCAAGATGCAGGGTCAGGTTTATTCTCTCCTTTTGCTCCTGCACCCGGTGGGTGCTAATTACTGTGTGGACTGCTAGAGTCATTACGGAAGTTTTGAGAATTGCTCATAACTGACAAAACTCTTCTCTCATTGAAGGCAATGGTAAAACACTCATTTTTAACATCAGTGGTTAGCAGAGTTAGGTCAGTACTGAGTCCTTCTAGAATCAGACTTTGTAGCTGTTCAGACAACTGAATGAGCCTGAAAATTTGTTTACTTGGATGTCTAAATGAACTTAAACATGAACACAGAACTTCATACTCAAAAAGAGAGGCCTGGTCAAACCCAGGCTGAAAAATGAGGTCCATAATATATTGTTAATAGCTAATAAACAATTAATAAATTAACAAAACTTATTATTGGACTTGTGTATTAATACAAATACCAGTGTTAACATTTGTTACTTAGTAGTAGTAGTAGTAGTAGTAGTATTACAGTGGCTTTCTGAAATCCCAAGTGAAGTTGTATAGTGGTGGACACTGCACAAAACACTGTAGTAGATAATCCCTGGCTCAGGCAGCCTACAGTCTGACACAGATCTTGCAGAGACTGACTTACGAGCCTATCTATGCATTGTGAATGGTCATGGGACTATTAACAATATGATAAGCTAAACATAGGGTTTATAAGTGCCTGCACTATTCATATCGAAGACATTAAAAAGAACATTACCTTTGTTTTGGAATTTGTGTAGGTAGAAATATCAGCTGCTCTAAGTAAAACCATGTGCACCCATCCCTGGCAATGGTCAGGTTAATAGGAATTTCAAACAAGTTAAGCAATGAAGTAATTTTATGCAAATAAATAATGCCGGAACATTTCCTGCTTACACAGAGAGTGAAATATGTCACAGTTAATGTTTGGTATAAACAAAAAAATGTTTGTATTAGAATTTAGGTTTTGATAAGCATCTCAAAGGTCTCCAAACCTTTTATCCTTTGCAGTGGCTTAGCCTATTGACAGGAAATCAGATATTCAATTGTACTGCTATGCAACAGAGCAGTCATATAAAGATGTGGTATCCAGGGAAAATTATCAAAAATATACACACCAAAAATCACACACGCATTTTGTCTTTACCAGCGCAAGCACACAGACTGTCATTGTGTCACTTTGCTTTGCTGTGAACTGAATGATGCATTCAAATGCTTTGTTGTCCCTGCGAGAATTTTCAGTCATCCCCTTGTGCTCTTACCTAACTGTATAAGACAGAAGATTGTCACTTGTTTCAAGAGCACGCAGCTGCCCACAAATGACAACACTCATTTGGAGACACAGCCTTGCCTAACATGGATGAACGTATATAGTGTTCATGTTAGAGAGATGAATAGCATCATTCAGTCACTACAGTGTTCCATTCTCTTGCTGCCAAACAAAGGATATAAGCCCAAGAGTTCTGAAAAGTTGCTTTTGCAAAGCAGTCCACGGTGCATAGCAGACGCCCCTCAAAGCCAAAAATATCATTATATTGGGGACTCTTTTTCTGTAAAAACCACAAATCTCCCTAAGAGACTGTATTCCTCTGTCTGTTCCAAAGATGCCTATTACAAGTGGTATGATTATTCATGAGTTGTAAATTCCTGGTCATACCTTTTATTTTTGGACTGACTTTTACCTGGGCTGTAATGAGGAACAACAACCAGCAGATGGCAATGTTGTACAGTGTTCATAGTTAAGAAGAGGCGCTGCAGCAACTGTGGCTTAAAAGGCTTCACATAAAACCACTTGTAAGCACTCTTTGCTGGTAAGAGACAGGACTGAGAGTGAAGCAGTCCCTCTAAGCAGCATGAAGTGTTAACCGACAGAGCCAATGCTTGATTGCTTAATTCTTATTTAAACGCATGTAAATTCTTGTTAAATTACAATAATAAATCTATAATCTAAATCTGTCCATTGATTATTTATAGAAGTGGCAGGCACATTATCACTTAGAACAGCAACTTAATTGAACCACCTGCTTTCTCTATTTCTCCTAATACTATGATTTAATAATGCTAAGAAAGGAACAGCATATACTTCTGTTCAATTGTTGAAATACATGTCAGTTCAATGGAGTTGCTATTTTGGACGCGTCTTGCTACATTTTAGTTGACCCTATTGGATTGCTTTTTCAGGCTGAAGCAATGAGGCTCATCTCAGCTAACAAGTTTCTTCAAACCCAAATAAAAGTAAGTGTCCCCCTTTAGAGCTATGATACGCTCCAACAGTACTTTATACACCAGTTTCCTTCAGAATTATCATCACTAGGTTTGACTGAAGTCATGGGAAAGACTTTCAATGAGTTCTCTGGGCTCCAAGTCAAGGGCACTGTGAATGGCCTGCTACAGAAAGAAAGGGTTTTTTTGTTTTGTTTTTATTAAGATGATGAACTATGGCACTCTGACCATGAATTGCTTGGGAAAAAGATCTGAATGGTTACTTTAGAAATACAGGGTCTTAGAGATACCTAGAGGGAAAAGAAAAAAAAGAGTAGATAAATTTGGAGTAAAATAAAATAATTTTATGGAGCAATAAGACTGCACTGAGCACTCCAAGAGTGTGTGTCACAATAAAAAAAAATAGATAGACATCATTTCCTATTTTGGTGAAATGTGAATGACAAAATTAATTGGTCCAAAAAAGGGATTTTGTTCAGCAGCTATCTATATATGAAAAACAAAACTTCACAAGAATGACAAAAAACGCAAGTCAGTCAAGTAGAAGGTAACTAGTGTTTTACTGTTGTAGGCTGTGAGTTTTGGAAAAAAATATTTAGCTAGTAACAACAAGTAATACATAATACCAGAAAAATGACAATAACAAAAATAACCTTGTGCTTCTGTAAATTAGCTTGCTTATAGTCTATCTTAAACTGTGTGTGCGCAAAGCAACAGGAAGCACTGCATAATGTACAAAGGTGTGTGCAACCTTAAACTTCCTGCTGAAATTTAAATGTTGAATACACAGCTGAGAAACCCCTTTACCTTAATTTATAGTGGAGGTTAATGGGGTTAAAAGGCTCTCAGTATTACAAATGACTTACCAAAATTATCTGATATCACTTGGGCTTTTTTTCTAAACTACTGTACTGAAAAATATGTTTCTATTTCCCTGTGTGTGTATATATAGTTGCTTTCTTTCTATTTGTAGGATGTTGAATACAGCATAACAGATACCTTAAATAAACAGAAGATCTCCCAAGAAAGTCAACAGTAAGTTTGAATAAAACAAGACAGTTGTTGCTTTTTTCTTTAAATGTTAAAGAACAATGGAAGCCCTGTCACAATAATATTTCAGACCCATTATGATCAGTTTTTCATAGCTGCTAGATTTAAGTGCACCTCAGTACAACATGCATAATAGGAGCCAAGGTATTTTAAAGTGCTTTGCTGAAATTTAAAGCATGGACTCAGTTTCAATTGAGCTCTGAATCCTACAGTCAACCAAGAAAACCAAAATATGAACAGTGCTTATGGGAGGTGTTTGACTGACACTCCCAATCATTGTAGCTGACCAATTAGAACAGATATAGTACAGCACTTACAAATTTTCCTAAACTACTCTCCCAGTGTGCTTCAGACTTGACTTGGCGGAGTGACCTCTGAGCATATGAAAGTAGTACAGGGTTTTTCTCTGGGTAAAAATAGATGTGGCCAAATGAAGTCTCCACAGCTGATCCACGTTATGGAATGAGGCATGCGTTGCTTATTGTCCTGCATCAGGCAGGGGTCTGATGCAGGACAATCGGATAAATGTTCCCCTTGCGTCCCCTTCCCCTCATTCCTCACTGCTGTGCACCTCCTTGCTGGGACCTGGGTCCCATGCTGGCCTGTACCGCACATTGAGGCATAGGTCAGTGTGGGGTGGTGCAGAGGCTCAGAGCAGCAGGACTTGGGGAATGTCCCGCATCCCATGCCTCCATTCCAGGAACCATGCTGGGACATGTGCCAACTTGGGTCCAGGCAAGGAGGTATGGGGTGGTGTGGAACCTGGGGCATTCCCAGTGTTTCATGCCTCCACACTGGGTCCCATGCCACCCTACACCTCCTTGCTGAGACCCACACTGACCCATGCTTCCTGTGAATCATGGGTTGGCACAGAATCCAACATGGAGGCACAGGGTCACACAGGTATGGAGGCACTGAGGATTTCCCAGATCCTATGCCTCCATGCTGGGACCTGCATGGGCTTTCACTGTTTCTCAGGGTAGGTCTCCATAAGCAGGGAACCCTGACTTTCCTCACCTATGGAGAGATGCTCCAAGTTTCCCCAGGGTGCATCTCTGTAAGTAGAGAAAGTTGGGCAGGTGCTGCCAGGGCTTGAGGAGCCCGGTGCTGCGTGGGAATTCTTGGGGTACATAGGATTGGGCTCTTCCAAGCCCTGGAGCACTGCCTGGGGCAGCTGGGGAAGGTAGGCAGTCTAGGCTGCCTGTTCTCTTTTGCTGCGGAGCAAATAGACGTCCACTACAATAAAGTAGCACTATTTTACACTGCCTTTTGATGTGCTACTGATGTGATGCAACAAAAGATAAGGATGTGTATTTGTTCATCATCTGTACTACCATAACACTTTTTTCTGGCAGCACAAATGCAACATCAGGTGATATTTGCTTCTGTTCGCTATATCCATTCAGTCCTTGGCCTGTTCTGAGACTGCAGACTTGTACTAGCTGTGATGACTTTTTGTGGCGTGGACTTCTCTATGCTGAGAATTGGACTGCGACAACCAAACTAATTTCAATTTATTTTCTGTGAGATTCGAGGTTTACCTAAATGGTGTTCATCTTCAAGGTATTTTTAAGTGATTGTAAAGTTACTAGTCTAGAAACTTTCAGTTACAGCTGACATTGGCTGGATCTGAACTGCTTGCCAGGGCAGAAAGTTTTATAGTCTTGAGGACCTTGCTACATGTTCAAATTAAAGCTGAATAGAAACCAGCTATAGAGCTATTCAAGCACTAACTTTATAGCTGGTTGGTTCTTTTTATAGCTGAAGAATCATTTTTATTATGTGATAATTACTTTGCACATGTGGCTATGTAACAGGGAACCCTTGCCTTGTGACTGGGGGAAGGCTATGAGGCTAGTAGGACCAGCAAGGGCCCTTTAAGAGCAGGATATTTGCCCAGAGAAAAGGGAGCTCAAGAAAGGAAAAGGAGAGCTACGAGGGCCTCCAGAGAGAAACCCTGGGTGGCAAGCAGTGGCTCCTGCAATGGCCAGTAGCTCTGCCCAGGGAGTGGCTGAATGCTAAAGTGATTGCGGCCCAAGGGCAGGCAGCTGGCAGGGATGCAGAGAGGGGGCAGAGAGGGTTTTTTTGGGGAATGGGGGTGGGGGGTTGCTTTCTTCTTTTTGCTTATGCTATAGGACCCAGAAAGGTTTTAAATGCATATTGGTTTTCTTGGAGAGTGTCCAGAGGGGCAGTATTTTAGTTTGAAGCACTGGCTAGCATTTCTTTTCTGTTCAATTGAAAGACTGAGAGCGGCTGTGAGGGGAGGTGGAGGCCACATTACAGGCACCTTAAAGTGTCCTGCAAGATTAACCCTTTGTAGGTGAGAGAGAGAAAAGGAGACTTTAATCCTTCAAAGCTCACAGACCAGGAGGGCCCAGAACCCTGACCATGGGGATTACTTCCTTGTTGTGCTGTTCCTACCAAGGAGGTAAGGACAGAATAAGTAGGCTTTTGGCTGAAGGCAGCAGCTAGAGCAAGTAGGCTGGGAAGGATGTTAGAGGGTCAGGGCCTACACAAGTATAGAAAAGATAGAGCCAAGTGACCCAAAAGAAAACCCCACTCTAAGGCCCAGGATATGTCCCACATAATTGGTTATTCTATCAAGGTGAGGCAGGTGAGATGCAGGATGCTGGTTTGGAAGAGCTTGAGTGGGGGCAGACTAAGTGGTTGCTGAGTGTTACTACTGCCTGGCAAGGTTAGTCCTGCCACAGGATGGTCTAAATTTATTGCATGATTAACTAGTTAATTGTGTGACAATTACTTTGTGCTTGTGGCTGGTTTTACTTTGCGTGTGTGACCAGTCTAAATGTATTGCACAATTGACCAGCTAATTGCAAAATATATGTAATGTGTAGCAGGGGTCTTGGGTATCTTCCTTATTCTTCTGCTAATAAAAGTATTCTCCTGCTAATATCTTGCTAGTATGAAAACACAAAAAGAAAAATACACTATGTGTAGCTAAATCTGAATTATACAGATCATATTCTTGACATCCATGCTGGTTCCAGAGGTAAATAGGAAATATATGATTGCTGTGGTTTTCATACATGCAGAAATTTAGCCCAAGACTTGGTTTGTTATTATTTGCATTATTATAGCGACAAGGAGCCATGCTGAAGGACTAGAAGTGTACCACACAGAACAATGTAGTTTTTACCTAATCACGTACTGCTGTGTCAAACATCTGTATTTAAGTTAGCATAAATATGTAAATGTGTGGAGTTGACTACTGGTTATGCGTTATCTTTATGCCACACAAATGCAGAAAAATGTAACAATCATAGAAAGGGGTTAATGGTGTACTTTGGGGGGAAAAAAAAAAGGAAAAACCCCAAAAACTCTCAAAAAAGCAAACGCCCAACTTTATAAATGGTGTAAGTGCCCAGTCCAGTAATATAATTTGGGCCTTTATTTTAGCTAGGCTATGCATCTGCAATTGCATACACATATTTGCATATGCATAATTTAACTAAGCAAATAACTGTTGCCTGCAGACAAATCAACTGTTCTGCAGACCAAATTACACTTCTCAACCTGCCATCTCTCTGCAAGAGCCCCATTTTTTTGTTTTTTTATCAAGTATTTCCACATACCACTTAGAGATATTTGTCATATGTTGGTATAAGGCCTAGTCCAGTAACTTTTAAATAGACTTCACTGAATTTTGGTTCTTGTCTATGCCTGGGCAGCAGCATGGGTTGACCCCTAGCACACACTATTCACCTGTTCCCACAGGTATGCTCCAAAACTAGCAGTTCTGCCCTTGAGCTTTGGATTTGTCTCCAGTAGCTGCTCCCTGAAGCATGCCAGAAACTTAGGCTGCCTATACATGTGCTCAGGGGTAGGATGGGGGAATTATAATTAGAGCAGTTCCTGGAGAGCCATTCTAATTAAAACACCTTACCATCACATGTATTAATCCCTCACAGATTTTAAAATGGCCGCAGGATGCTTTATCTAAACTTAATTCAGTGAGGTTTGAATAAAGTGCCCCAGCAGCCATTTTTAAACCCGTGTGGGCTTGTACACATGTCGATGAGGCCATGCTGCAGTATTCTAATTAGCATGTGGAGCAGATGCAAACTCAATTAATTGAGTCTGCTCTGACGTGTTCTAAGCAGAATACAAAGCAGCACATGTATAGGCACCCTGAGGTCTTGACAGCAGCCACAGAGGGTTAACCCTGAGTAGCCACACTGCTGTATTTCTAGGTGTGGAACATGTCATCAAGGGTGGGTGGCCAGCACATGTTTGGGAGCGACTAGCTGCAGGGTCATTGAAGTGTAGATAAACTTATATGTCTTAGATAATATCTCTTTATAGTAGAGGTCCTGCAGTATTATAAAACTATACAATTTATCATAGCTAATAGAGATGTTATGATAGCAGGTAACTGTGCTTTTAGTACTCAAAATCCCAGATCCATTCTCTACAGATAACAACATGTCTGTATGTACACAAGCCATGTACAACATTCCCAAATGCATACCTGAAAATGTGAGATGCGTGAAAATCTGAATCTAGATCTATAGACTCAATCTGGAATGACAAATTAATACAGGCTGCTGCAATACTATTTCCTTCTAATTATCCTCCCAATGCACACAGGTAAGGGAGTTTCTATGTTTTGTCTTCCACCCTTGAGTTGCTAACTTTTAAATTTGCATTAGAAACATATAAAATGAGGGGGTAAAAAGCACCCTGTTCAAATTTGCAGAAGACACTAAGTTGTGGGGGGAAGTGGGTATGCTAGAAGGGAGGAATATGCTGCAATCAGACCTAGACAGGCTACAGGGGTGGGTGGATAAGAACAGGATGAGTTTCAACACTGACAAGTACAAGGTACTGCACCTGGGGAGGAAGAAACAGCAGCATATTTACAGGCTGGGGAACTCCCTTCTTGTCAGTGCAGAGGCAGAAAAGGATCTTGGGGTCATTATTGATGCCAAAATGAACATGGGCTGACAGTGTGGGGATGCGGTCAGGTAGGCCAACCATACCTTGTCATGCATTCACAGATGCATCTCAAGCAGGTCCAAGGAGGTGATCCTCCCCCTCTACGCAGCACTGGTCAGGCTGCAGTTGGAGTACTGCATCCAGTTCTGGGCGCCGCACTTCAGGAGGGATGTGGACAACATGGAGAGGGTCCAGAGGAGGGCCACTTGCATGATCAGGGGGCAGCAGGGCAGGCCCTACTAGGAGAGGCTACGGGACCTGAACCTGTTCAGCCTCCACAAGAGAAGGCTGAGAGGGGATCTAGTGGCCTGTTACAAACTAGTCGGGGGGACCAGCAGCCATTGGGGGAGTCCCTGTTCCCCTGAGCACTACCAGGAGTGACTAGAAATAACGGTCAGAAGCTGGCAGAGGGTAGATTCAGACTAGACATCAGGAGGCACTACTTCACAGTCAGGGCGGCTAGGATCTGGAACCAACTTCCAAGAGAAGTGGTGCTGGCTCCTACCCTGAGGGTCTTTAAGAGGAGGCTGGATGAACACCTTGCTGGGGGCGTTTGACCCCAGTACTCTTTCCTGCCATGGCAGGGGATCGGACTTGATGTGCTCAGGTCCCTTCCAACCCTACCTACTATGAAACTATGAAAATGCACTGCTCTGCTTTAGGCATTTCACTGAAGTCATCTACTATATCAAAAAGAGAATTGTGAAGTCACATCTTGACAGAGAAAAAGATTTAAAATTCCCCTTTAAATTGAAGCAGAAGGTTTTGAAAATGTTGCAGTTCAGTTCCTATTAATTTACTGCTTTGTTTCCTTTGTGGATTGCCACAATGTGAAGTTTTTACACTTTCCTGTGTGAATGCATTAATCTAGTTTAACAGGAAGAAACTGGAAAAATAGGCAGGAAAACAAGACACTAGGTCTAGTTAAGCAGGCTCCCAAGAAATAGTGGGAGAGTAATTTCCAGACAGTGCCATACTTACAGACTCTAGCTCAGCTTTTCAACACTGCCTTGACAGACCTGGTAATGGAAAGATCAAGGGGTCTAGCCATTTACAAAAGGATGCTTTGCTTTCACGTGTGTGTATGTGCATGTGTGGCAACCAGGGGACTGTGCAAGATTTACTGTGACTCCCCCTGTAACTGATTGAGGGGGGAAACCTGTTTTTGAGTTCAAAGAAGAGACTGTCACTTACTCTGTAGGGTTCTTGTGAGGTTTTTTAGAAAGCTCTGACCTACCACGATCCTCCAGCTGGTGAGCCTGACATTCATATAATCTGATTTGTTATTTTAGGATCTCTTTGTTTTTCAGAAATGCTTTGGTTTGAAATAAGCAGCACAATATATATCAGGCCAGCTGAAGTAAGCACCCACTGTCCGCAGTCCAATTCCCTGTCTGAGAATGGGAGAATCTCAGGATTCTTGTCTGAGAGAATGGTGATGGTCCTAGGCCAATGAGGGGGTCCGAGGGGCAATTAGATTAGTTCTTGTGATAACTCAGGCCTGGTGAGTTGGCAGGTTGGGACTTATGAAAGTGTGAATATTTTTAGTTTCTGAAATTTCTCCTTGCTCTATGAGGCAGAATATCATTTTAGATTAGAATTGCATGCCCCACAGATCAGGAATGGAGATTCATAAACAAAAATTGATGACATACGGCAAAGCAAACTAGTAGGAAAATGGAATGGCACTGTATTTGAAGAGCTAATAGAAGCTGGTTCAAATAAGAAGTAAAAATTTGGTATTATTGTATTAGCACTATTCAAATGAAGCTCTCGGTCAGATGAAAGGATATTAGAAATAAAATATTAAGGCAATTAGTAATAGATATACTTTGAATACAAGGTTAATTAGTCTCATTTGCATGCTGTTAATTATTAAAAGTAATTAGCTTGGAGATACTTAAGGAAGTGCTCTCACTAAATACTTTTAAGATGTAACATAAAGACTCTTAAATTTTGCTGCCAGCAGTGCTCACATATAAACCCTTTACAAATATATGGTGCCTTGGGATATTTGCATAATAAGGCATTTTATAAAACTGATCTCCACAGTTTTGCCCTCCTAATATTGTGATTCACGTTTCTGGAGCTGACGTTATTCTCTATCTTCAAGACAGATCAGGAGGACTAAAACATTAGCAGTAGCAGAAGATTTCTGAATCAAATCCTGTCCTGAAGCAGAACTGAAAGAGATCATCTAATTGTTTGAAGTCAGAACTGTATCATCCTTTGCCCTTAATGCACACACGATAATTCAGATGACATTTAATTATAGGAAAGGCCTAGATTAATACATATTTAATCTCTACAGCAGCAGCTTTCTCCAGGTGCTGTGAGATTGTCCAGGGAACAAGGGGCAAAACATGTAGTCTGTCTTTAGAACAAAGTAAATAATTTGCAGCCATAACTTTCTTTAGCTAAATTTTACCTCATTTCCTGCAAGCATGTTGTGATTTCCTCAGATTTATATGCTGTTTCATAAATGTACATTCAGTTTTTTTGTTCTGTTGATTAATTGCAAAGATTCTAACCTCGAGCTGTGTTGCTTCATTATAAATGGACAAATCTATTTTGTTTATTTGGGTTTTTTTGATGGAATGACCAAGTATGCGTTAAGGGGACCAGTGGTAAAATTCCCATCAGAATTAGCTCCTTGTGATTATGTTAGTAAAATGTATTCTTCATATTTTTGTGGAATGCGGCCATGAAAGAATGACAGCACTAGCTGAAGTAAATCCATTGAAAAACATGAGTGAATCTGAAGGGTGTTGAAAATTGCATTTACCATCAAGTTCTCAGAGCCAATGTAGGTTAATGAGGTTACTGGTGTCATTAACACCTGATCTGTGACTTGCTGCTTATTGGATAGGAAAGCAGTATGGTGGAGAAGATAGTGCCAGCATGTAAAGCTATCCACATTTAACATTATAAAGACTGTACAAGCTTGGAACCATTAATGGAAGCCATTATTGAGCCCCAGTTAATTTTTCTTCAAAGGCACATGCTGTAAGAAATCTTACTGTGATCTGTGCCTTGAGCAAGAGATTGACATGGAATAATGAAAAGCAATGTTCCAAACATTTTGCCTCCAGCAGAGAAAGCAGGGATCAAGCACTAATGGTGCTTCCAACTTTGTTCTCTTATATTGCTGATAATGGAAGAACTGTCTGGGGGTTTGCTATGCAACACCCGGAAGCGTGATCTGACATACGTAGGCTTTTTACTCACTGACTGTATTCCTCATATATGTTTATTCTGTGCTTTCCTTGTTCTTTTTCTTTTTTTTAGAAAGATGTGGGACATGCTGAAGACCTTCTTGTCACTTGAAGATAGTGAAGCAACTTCAGACAAATCAGAAAAATGATGTGTAGGAAGATAAATTCTAGCTGCACTGAACATACTTTTGACATCCTGAGACCATGCAAGATGAAACCCAGTTTTGAAAAACTGATGCTGGGCCTTAGAATCAAATATTATAATGCAACTTCAATAAGATAAATGTCAGTATTTGCACAGATTATCATGGGTGTAGACACTGATATTTCCATATGCCATCTAGAGAAATGCCCACCACTAATAATAGCAATAGTATAAATAGTGGTGCCTTTCCTTATATAGTTTCAGTAGAAACTTCCCTTATTTAGTAGTGGAACCTTTATTCAAGGACCAGATGATATTTAATTAAACCTCCACAGTAGAACTCACAACTGCAAATTATTTAAGTAAATTGAAGTTGCAGCTTCTAGAAATGATATACATGTATAATTTTGTGCATATTCATTGTTGTGAGTATTATATTCAAGCCTCGAACCTGGCTGATGCAGAGGGATATGGCATAGTGGCAATGCCACCTCCCTTCAGCAGCTTTTTCTTTTCCAGTGTCTCAGTTTTCCCTTTATACATCTCTAATTGATACGTTTGCAAAAAGAGCTTTGAAAATAGGAACCAAGTGTAGCCCAGGTAACTTGGGTATATACTCCCCTTCTCCAATTGAAGGGGATTGCTAGCTGGCAGGTATGCTGTGGGGTGGGAACTGCAGACCGCTCAGTTTCCCTCCGTCGCTATAGAACCAGGTCAGGACAGTCAGGGGACTTAACTTATATACACATGTATTTACATTAACATATCACAAGGGAAAGGAACATGGATATAAACATATGTACAACGTATGTATATACTTATAAGATATCTAAACCAGTAACATAAACAATACCCTCTGGGTAAATGACATAAAACCTTATACCAGCGCTCTCGTATACAGGTAAGAATCTGATCTGAAACAGATAAACCCCAAAGATAAACTTAATCCCGAGGGGGAACCCCAATGCCCTTGGGCTTTTCCCAAGCCCTACAAAGAAGCTGATAACTTTAGGGGGGGCCCTCTCAGTGGGACCTCCCCTTTCAGGAGCCCAAGCGCTCCAAAGGTCCTACTCCATGCACCGTCCTGTGCACACCAGAGGTTGCAGACCCGAGCCGCCTCACGCAGCTCCCAGGGTCTGGACACCATGTGCCGTGCTGCACACCGAGAACCTAGCTGCTGGAGCCATCTGCTGGAGCCATCTGCTGATGGAAGTCTTCAGAGGTGCTTCTGGGCTACTGCTTTGCCCTGCTGAGCAGCTCTCCTCAGCTCTTCTAAGCCCCGCTCTTCTCTCTTCTCTCTCCCGAATGTGTTCTCCTCATGCTGGGCATGCAGCTCCTTTTATATGCTTCAGAGCTCCACCCCTGAAGTCTTCCAGACCTGAGTGTTGCAGTCTTCCATCAGGTCCATTGTGGTGGGGATGGGACTTCTTTCCCCCTCCCCTCAGGAAAGGGGCATGACTGCATTCCTCTTGCTGCCTCCTGATTGGGGGATCATCTCCACCAATCAAAACAGCAAGATTTCAAGCCTGGGACTGATCCCAAGCTCCAAAAGGCAAGCCTGCTAGACAAGTATAAATGAAGCAGCAGTGGAAGCTTGATTTTGCAGAGGATCCTAAAAATGCTGTAGAGATGTGAACTATCCTATTCATTTCACAGAGGTGGTAACTCCAATGCCAGTGGGGATACCCTATACCCTAAATGCCAATATTGCTTACTCTTTAAGTGCTTATCAAAGCATGTAAATAAAACAAAAAGAGGAAGGTTCATATTGTGAAGACACATGCAATGTGAGAGCAGCAGCACACTTGGTGCAATATATGTTTGAGTTTGGGGAGAGCACCACTATATATAAGCTTCCTGGTTAGGTAGGAAACAAACCCAAAGAGCCCAGTAAGGCATGAATACTTCATGGTGAGAAAGATGAGCATGGTAGATTTTATGAGTCTGAGGGGCAGTCGCATGCAACGTGGTCAGAGAAAGCATATAAGAGAAAGCCAACTTGGTAAATGGGTACTTTGCATCGCTTTTTTACCAGTCCCAAGGGGCACCTCTGTCCATTATGGGATGGGAATGCCTTGGTGAGGGTGATTCCTTACCCTCCATCAGTCCTGACCTTGTGAAGGAACACCTTGAGAGGCTGGACACCTTCAAGTCAGCCGGCCCTGACAGTTTACACCCCAGAGTACTCAAGAAGCTGGCAAGCACCATAGCTCAGCCCCTGGCAAGGATCTTTGAGAACTCCTGGCGCTCTGGTGAAGTGCCCAAAGACTGGAAGAAGGCCAATGTGGTGCCTATCTTCAAGAAAGGGAGGAAAGTGGATCTGGGTAACTACAGGCCCATCAGCCTGACCTCTATCCTGGGGAAGGTCTTAGAAAAGATTATCAAAGAGACCATTCTTAACAGACTGGCCGATGGCAGCCTCCTGAGGGATAGCCAGCATTGGTTTGTTGCGGGTAGGTCTTGCTTGACCAATCTTATTTCCTTTTATGACCAGGTGACCTTTCACCTGGACAAGGGAGAAGAGATTGATGTTGTGTATCTGGACTTTAAAAAAGCCTTTGATTTGGTATCCCATGATCACTTCTTAGCAAAACTGGCCAACTGTGGTCTCGGCTTCACCACGATCCGCTGGCTGGGGAATTGGCTTCGTGGTTTGACCCAGAGGGTGGTGGTTGATGGAAGTCAATTGTTGTGGTGCACTGTGACCAGTGGGGTCCCTCAAGGCTCTGTCCTTGGGCCAACACTATTCAACATCTTCATTAATGATGTGGACATTGGTATCAGAAGCGGACTGGCCAAGTTCACCAACTTCACCAAACTTTGGGGTAAAATGCCCACACCTGAGGACAGGAGGGTGATCCAGGCTGACTTTTTTGACAGACTCAGGAAATGGGCAGATGAGAATCTGATGGTGTTCAACACTGAAAATGCAAGGTTCTCCACCTTGGGAAGAAAAACCTGCAGCATGCTTATAGGCTTGGCAGTGCTACACTGGTTAGCACTACGGACGAAAAGGACTTGGGGTTCATGACTGACCAGAAGATGAACATGAGCCTTCAATGTCATGCTGCAGCTAGTAAAGCAAGCAAAACACTGGCTTGCATTCATAGATGCTTCTCAAGCAAATCCCAGGACGTCATTCTCCCATTGTACTCGGCTCTGGTGAGGCTGCAACTGGAGTACTGCGTTCAGTTTTGGGCTCCACAATTCAAAAAGGATGTGGAGAAGCTTGAGAGTGCAAAGGAGAGCCACGTGCATGATCAGAGGTCAGGAAAACAGACCTTATGATGAGAGGCTGAGAGCCATGGGCCTCTTCAGTCTGGAAAAGTGTGGGCTCAGGGGAGATCTGATGGCCACCTAAAAGTTTATCGGGGTGCTCATCAGGATCTGGGGGAACATCTGTTCACCAGAGTGCCCCAAGGGATGACAAGGTCAAATTGTCACAAACACCTGTAGGACCGTTTCAGGCTGGACATAAGGAAGAACTTCTTTACTGTCCAAGCCCCCAAGGTCTGGAATAGACTGCTGCTGGAGGTGGTTCAAGCACCCACTTTGAACGCCTTCCAGAGAAACCTGGATGCTTTTCTTGCTGGGATCCTATGACCCCTGCTGACTTCCTGCCCCTGGGGAAGGGGGCTAGACTCGATGATCTTCCAAGGTCCCTTCCAGCCCTAATGTCTATGAAATATATGAACACAACACTTGCAGGTGTGCACTGTCTACTGAGGGCACCCACTTACTTTGGTGTATCTGTCATGGACAGAGCTTGGAAGATTACATCTCCCTTCTTTTTCCAATTCAACCTTTACCTCAGGCCCAAGAGCAAAGTTGGGATGCTTATCTGCACTTTTCGTTAAATTCAATACCATTTGAATTCTGGGGTTTGCTTCAAGGCCTTGTCTAATTTGTCAGGGATGAAGGGCTATTTGAGTTATTTTTCTTTTTTCTTTTATTTTAAACCTGTTCCACTAAATTCAATGAAAAGATCATTGCAGTGGTAATGTTTTTAGGGGCTAACCTGACAGGTTTTGTACACCTGAAGGTCTAGATCTACCAAAGCACTTAGTTGCATAAGTCCAACATTTAAATCCTTGAAACTCTATTTTCCACCCCCCTAACCCTGGAGGCAGTTAATGTTCGGTTTCTTATATAAAGTTCCCTAAACATCTCCTTCTGGTTGTGCTTACCATAGCCTTAGACCTCATGGAAGATCAATAAAAATCTCCTAACCAAATCCACTTGGGATCCACAAAAGTGCTGTTTATCCCCCCGTTTCACCCGAGGGACTCAATCTTGTGGGTATTCTTGGAGCTTGCCTTCTTGATTGCTGTAAAAGCTGTGGGCATGTAAATATTTGCATTACAATAGCCCTTTAATCAGTACATTTAATCATTGCCTTAGATGTACTCTGCATAAATGTAGTATAAGAAAGTCCCTGCCTTTGATTTTACAATCTAAAATCATGGCACAATTACCATGCCAGGCAAAATGTCCTCCAAATATCCTGTCCTGCTGCTTGTGGGCTGCCATATAAATTATAAACTGTGTAGCCACCTTCTCATAGTGTCATAAGCAGTGTGATGAGCATGAGAAAAGGCTAAGTGGTACGTCATTGCCACTGTTGCTCAGCAGGGCTAATTAGCCTTTTTATGGTGCCACATGTATGTAACTGCACGTTTTTAGGAGACAGCCTCCTGCATGGAGCAGCATGGAGTGTTTGTCTGCACAGCTGACTGGCACATGATTTTTCCATGTGGATGTGTCCCAAATAGGATATGATAAAGGGATGGGGAAAGGAAGTGGGGGTATTCCTAGTTACCTTGGTATTTCCAGTCAGCACTTAATTTGACTGTGAAACTCATTGTCACAGGATGTTGTTGTAAGCAGGATTCCCAGAGGGAATAGATGTTTCTATGGATAACCAGAACATACAGGGTTATAATAGTTAATGAGAAAAACCCCAAATCTTAAGGCAATTACTAATTGCTGTGGATAGTATGGGACCTTTGTGTGGCAAATCATCCCACATCTATGTGCCCACTGTGTAATTATTCCTGTTTTCTCCTCTAAAATGTCTGATACTGGCCGCTGCTACAGACCAAACACTGGACTAGATGGACTATGAGTCTAATACAGTCTGGTGATTATGTTATATCTACACCAGTCATCACCAACCAGTGGATCTCGATCCACCAGTAGATCTTGGAGCCTCTTGTGGTAGATCTGGGAGCCTCTTGGAGTCGATCGAAGGCTGGGGTGGGAGGCTGAGTGCCCGTGTGCATGCACACATGCATCTCAGCCCAGCAGGTCAGTCCATGGGGGAAGGAAGGGGTGAGGGCTAGATTGCAGCCCCTGCGGTGAGGGACAGTGCCGCAGTGGCAGGAGCAGGGGTAAGTTGAGTGGGGCCCTGGCCAGGTGGGACTTACCTGCTGGGGAGGCGCACCCCCAAATATTTTTTTCTCCCTCTGCCTTGATCTTTTCTCCCCTTCCCTCCCCACAGACTTACCTGCTGGGTAGTGGGGAGGGGGGTTGCCGGGGGCGGCAGCAGCAGTGCATGGTAGATCTTGGGTTGCTTTTAAATGCCAAAGGTGATCTCCTACTTAAAAAGGTTGGAGAC